TGTAAACACACCGACACAGAAACACACAATGATTTTGTACATGCATACACAATCATTCACACAAACAAAAAGCCATACAGACAAATACACATACAAACACAAAAAAAATCACACAAACATGTACATATACAAACACACAAATGCACACAAAAACACACACGCACTCACAAAAACACGCAGACATACAACCAGGAACACACACACAAGCACACATTAAACGCAGACATAAACTCAAAACACGCAAACACAGACACAAATTCACATACACACACATAAACACAAAACAACCACAAGCGCGCACATACACGCACAAAAACACACAAACGCACACAAACTAACGCACACCCACGCAAACAGGAACAGATGCAAAGACCCTCAGAAATGCACACACAAGCACAAACAAACACACGCATTCACACAAACAAATAACAAGAAGATTACAATTGTATAGCGCCTCTCACGTCGGGAGAATGTTCCAAGATGCTGGACAGTGTAAAGCATTTCAGGGGGAAGAAGGGAGGGGAAGGGGAGTGGCAGACGGCATGATCAAAGCCGATGGTTTTATGCGGCACTTGAAGGAGATACACGCACACAAACACACACCCAGAAAACACATGAAAACACACACACACACACACACTCACGCACATTCACACACAAGCAAACACAGGTAAACACGCACGCAAGCCCACACACGAACACACTTACACAAACATACACACAAACAAGCACAGACACACACAGATACACACAGAGAAACACACAAACCCACAAACATACACAAAAACAAACTCATAGACATACACACACAGGCACACACACGTAGAAAAACAAACTCACACAATCACACATACAAAAAAACATGCAAACACACAGTGAAACACACATAAAGATACACAGACACACACTCAACATCACATATACAAGCAAACACACAAACACAGACAAATACGCACACATACACGCAGAAAATACACACAGAAACACACATAAAAACACAAACATTCAAACACACATGCACAAAATCACACACAAGCACACACAGAAACACAAAACACGCAAACACTCATCCAAACACCCACAAAAGCACACACAGAAACACACACACGAGCACCCACATAGACACACATGCACAGATATGCATAAACATAAACAAAAACAGACACACACAGAAACACACACAAAGAAGCCCAGACACCCATCCAAAGACACACAGAAACATACACAAACATGCAAAAACACACAAACACACACAAACGCATACACACACGCATTCAAACAAATATCCGAACAAACACACACACACAAATACACACGCACACAAACGCACACATACACACAGAAACAAACACAAACTCTCATGGAAACACAAACGCACACGCACAAACACACACATAAACCACACGCAAACACACACAAAGAATCGAACACAAGCGCAAACACACAGACACGCAAGCAAACATAAACACAAGACACGCAGACACAGACATACAGGCACACACATTAACACACGTTGAGGGTTTGGTGCAAAAGATGGCTTGTGGTCTCACACTGTCACACCGATTCCTGTCACAATATCCAGCCTCACTGACCAGACAGTCACAAAAAACACATTGAGATATTGGAGTCATTCAGACTCTGGAAACAAAGTGTGTTACTTACTCCAGTCTCTTTATTTTACACTCCGGGTTCCTCAAAGCCTCACCCAGTCGCTTCACTCCACAATCTCTCAGATTATTGCCCCCCAGCCTGGACACAGAGACACAAACAGAGGGAATATAGTGTAACAACACAATACACATTGACAAGTATATATTGGAGCGTTTCAAGTGAGGAGCAAGTCCCAAGGCGCTGGGACCAGGGTCACAAACACACATATGTGCACACACAACACACATCACAGTCTCTCTCTCTCTCTCTCTCTCTCTCTCTCTCTCTCTCTTTCTCGGTAGCTCTCAATCTTTCTCTCAGTCTCTTTCCGTATCTACCGCAAAACACATTCATTACACTTTATAATATATTCTTTCTCAGTCTCCCTTGTCTCTTTCAATCTCTTTTAGTATCTCATTCTCTCAGTTTTTCTCTACCTAACAGTCCCTCTCTCTGCCTCTCCCTCGGCGACTCTCTCTCTCTCTGTCTCTCTCAATCTGTCACTCTCAAACTGTCACTCTCAGTCTCACTCTATGTCTCTCTCACAAAACAGTCACTGCATTTTAAAGTATAATCTTCCTCATTCTCCTTCGGTGTCTTTCACTCTCTCTCTTTCTCTGTCTAAATCTTTCTCTCTCTGCCTGTCCCACAAAATACACAGTCACTACACGTGATTATCTATTCTCTCCTACAGTGTCTCTCTTTCTCTCTTTCTCTGTCTCTCTCTCTCATACAAACACAGTCATTCACTCTCCCGCTCAGTCTATTTCTCTCTCTATCTCATTCTCTATCTCTCAGGCTCTCTGAGTCTGTCCCTCAGTCTCTCTCTCTCACTCTCTATCTCTGAGTCACTTTCTCGCTCAGTCTCTCTCTCAGTCTCTTTCCCTGTCTCTCCTGCAATTTATCTCCCTCAGTTACTATATCAGTTTATCCCACACAACACACATTGAAGTACACTTTAAAATATATTCTCTCTCAAAGTCTCTCTGACTCTCTGTCTCCCAGCCTATCTTCAGATCCATCTTTCAGTCTCTCTCTCTGTCATTCCCTCTCTCTCATCGTCTCTCTCATTCTCTCTCTCAGTCTTGCACAATCTCTCTCACTGTATCTCCCGAAAAATACACAGTGACTGAATTTTAAAATAGATTTTCTCTCAAAATCTCTCTCAATCTCGTGCTCTCTGTCTCTTTCAGTCTATCTTTCTTTATTTCTCTCGCTCTCTAGCTCTCTGTTTGTCAGTCTCTCTCTCAGATACTCTCTGTCTCTTCCAAAAACCACAGTCACTACGCTTTATAATATAATTTTTCTCAGTGTTTCTCAGCCTGTCTCTCCTTCTCAATCTCTCTCAGGCTCTCAGTCTCACTTTCTCTCTCCCATAAAACACAATCACTATGCTTTATAATGTAGATTCTCTCAGTGTTTCTCAGTTTGCCTCTCCATCTCAAGCTCTGTATCAGTCTCTCAGTCTCTCTCTCTGTCTCTCGCACAAAAACCTCAGTAATCTTTTTTATTACGGAGTACTGTGGTGTAAAGTGGTGTCCTGTAGCTCAGTGGTGAGAGCATTCGCCTTTCAAGCGAGAGACTTGGGTTCGATTCACAGCAAGGTGAAACCTTGGGCAAGTTTCCTTACTTCACAAGCCTGTTAATAACCCCTCAAGAAAAAAAATAATAAATGGTTCACTCATCCATGATTGAGTGCAGGGCTGCTGTGTGCGATTGGCTACCGCGTTTTGCCCCCAAAATATACAATCATTTCACTTTACAGTATATTCTATCAAGCACTTTGATAGTTCTAGAAGACGTGAAAAGCGCTATATCAAACGCAAGGATTATTATTATTAACGTATTTTCTCTCATTCTTTCTCAGTCTCTCTCTCACTCTTTCTCTCTCTTTCTCTCTCTCTCGCTTTCTCTCAGTCTCTCTCTGTCTCTCCCACAAAACAGCCACTTCACATTATAATATATTCTTCCTCTCAGTTTCTCTCTGTGTCCTATTTTTCCTCTATATCACTGTTATTCCCTCCCTCATATACTCTCCTCTCTCTCTCTCTCTCTCTCTCTCTCTCTCTCTCTCTCAGTCTCCATTTCTGTCTTTCATTCCCTCTCTCAGTCTCTCGCTTTCTCTCTCTCAATTTCACTCTCAGTCTCTCTCTTGGGTTATCTCTCTGTCTCTTTCTCTGGCTCACTCTTTCACAGTCTCTCCATCTACGACTCTCTCATTCATTCTCGCTTTGTTATTCTCACTCTCTCACTATCTCACTCTCTCTCTCTGTCTTTCTGCCTCTCTCTCTCAATCTCTCAGCCTCTGTGTCTCAGCCTCTCTCTCTCTCTCTCAATCTCACAGCCTCTGTGTCTCAGTTTCTCTCTGAGTCTCTTTCTCAGCCGCTCTCTCTCTCTCTCTCTCCGCCACCACCTCTTCCCCCCTCCCCCACCACCCACAAACCCCTCTCTCTTTCGCTCTCTCTCCCTCAGTCAATATCTTTCAGTCTCTCTCTCTTTCTCTATTTGTCTTGCCCACAAAACATGCAGTCTCAACGCGTTACAGTATATTCGCTCTCACAGTCTCTCTCAGTCTCTCTGTCTCTCAGTTTCCATTTCTGTCTTACTCAGTCTGTCTTTCAGTCTCTTACTCTCTCTCTTAATATCTCTCTCAGTCTTTCTCTGAGCCGATGTCTGTACCTCTGTCTCTCACGGTCTTTCTCAATCACAGTCTCTCTCACACTCTCTCCCTCTGCCACTCTATCAGTCTCCCCCACCCTCTCTCTGTCATTCTCTCTCTCTCTCTCTCTCTCTCTCTCTCTCTCTCTCTCTCTCTCTCTCTCTCTCTCTCTTTCTCTCTCTCTCTCTCTCTCTCTCTCTCTCTCTCTCTCTCTCTCTATCAGATGGAGTCATTGACCTGAGTGAGGCAAACATCTCAGGATAAGGGGGCCATCATGCATCTATACCGTCATGCATGTATGAGCCGGAGAGGTTAATGTAGCGTGCACACACACACAAAAAAAAAACATACACCTGCGTACATATACGCATACAGACACATAGGCACAAACACACACAAATTAATACATCAACAAACACCCATACACACACACGAAAAACAAACAACCACAACGCCCACACACACAATCACAAACACAGACACAAACACCAACAATCACACACACAGACACACACGTACAATCACATAAACACACACAGAAACACACGCACATAGAAACAATCACAGTCACATACAGACACTGTCACTCCGATTCCTGTCACAATATTCAGCTTCACTGATCAGACAGTTACAATAAATAGATGGAGATATTGAAGTCATTTAGACTCTGGAGACACAGTGTGCTACATACCCCAGACTCTGTATTTTACACTCCGGGTTCCTCAGAGCCACACACAGTCGCTTCACTCCACAATCTCTCAGTTTATTATTATTCAGGTTCAGCTCCGTCAGTGAAGGGTTTTTAATGAGAGTGGAGGCCATTGCCTTGGTACAACGAACTGTCAGTTTGTTACTGTTGAGCCTGGAGATCAGAGACACAGAGACACAACAGGGATCACAGAAAACCCTGTGTGTATAACCTACTTTAACTCACTGTAGTCCGTTAATCACGGAACGAAGAGACGTTGGAGGCCACGAGCGGATACAGAAATGGAAACGACACTCAGATAGTCCCTTCCCCCAGCGATGGGGCCTCAGAGGGTTTTCCCGATATCCAGGCATAATATGTAATAAAATACTAATACTGACATTTGACATAGTGTCTCATCTTGTCATGGAGACGCAACAATACTATTCACAGGCTATACTGTAAAGTAAATTGACTGTATTTTTTGTGTGATATTTTTTGGAATGGATTACTAACCCTGGAAAAGTGATCTGGAAATCATCTAACAACCGAATTGCGACTGACCGCGAGGCAAACAGACTTTCTCTCTGTCGGTCTCTCTCTCTCTCTCGCTCTCATTTTTTCTTCGTCTCTCTCTCACTCAGACTATCTCTCTCATCTGTGTCACTCTGCATCCCTTTCTATTTCTCTCACAGACTCCCCCAGTCTCACTGGTCGATTTGAATTTCTCTCTCACTCTAACTCGCCACAGTCTATATCTATCAGCCTATTCATTCAGCCTCTCTCTCTGAATCTCCCACATAACACACGGTCACTACACATTATAATATATTTTCTCTCATACTCTCTCCCTGTCGCTCTCTCTCTCAATCTCTCTCTTTCACACACTCCCACTCTCAGATTATCTCGGTCTCTCCCATAAAGCACAATCCCTGCACACCCACATCTACGTTTATTTCCGTCCGATAGCTGAAACCTCTTGGGAATATCAATGGAATCATTGACTCGAGGGAGGTAAACGTCTCAGGATACGGGAGGAAGCCCAAACATCATACACGTATGAGTTGGACAGTTTGCTGCAGTGTGCACAAACACACGTACAGACAAAGCGCATGCATACACACACACAAAATAAATTTTCACACATACAAATATATACATACACATACATACAAACACAAATATATACACATACACACAGAGACGCACAAATTAATACATACTGTGTGCAGTTTTGGTCTCCTTATGTAAGGAAGGATGTACTTGCCCTGGAGGGGGTGCAGCGTAGATTTATAAGATTAGTACCAGGGATGAAGGGGATGAGTTACGTGCATCGGTTTACCAATTTGGGATTATATTCTCTAGAATACAGAACAATTAGAGGAGATCTTATAGAAACCTATAAGATCATCAAAGTGCATGATGCGTAGATAGTGGGAGATTGCTTCCCCTGGTTGTAGAAACTAAAACCAGGGTCACAACCTTAAAATCAGAGGCCAACCCTTTCGCACTGAGTTGAGGAAGAACTTCTTCACTCAAAAGGTGGTGAATGTGTGGAACTCATTACAGCAAAGGGCTGTTGACGCTTAGTCCCTGAACATATTCAAGACTGAGATAGATAGATTTCTTATAGCAAAAGGGTATAGGGGATATGGGGATTAGGCAGGGTCAGGCTTTTAGCTGGAGATAGATTAGAAGATCAGCCATGATTGAATGGCGGGGAAGACTAGTGCCGAATAGCATAACATGTTATGTTATGCTATGTTATGTTATGTAATGTTATAAACAAAACACCATTCACACCCACACACAAACAGATAAATAAACAAACACCCATAACACCCACACACAATCACACGCACACAAACACAAGCACTCACACAGACAGCACACAAAGACATACACGAACAAACATACACACACCTCGAAACACACGAAGACAGAAACATTCACAGACACACACAGACACTGTCACCCCGATTCCTGTCACAATATTTATCCTCACTAATCAGACAGTCACAATAAATATATTGAGATATTGGAGTCATTCAGACTCCGGAGATACAGTGTTTTACTTACTCCAGTTTCTGTATTTTACACTCCGCCTTCTTCAGAGCCTCACACAGTTGCCTCACTCCATAATCTCTCAGTTTATTATTACTCAGGTCCAGTTTAGACAATGAGTGGTTTGTGCTGAGAGCGGAGGCCAGGTTCTCAGTGCAATGAGCTGTCAGATTGTTACCCCCCAGCCTGGAGATCAGAGTCACAGAGATACAACAGGGATCAAAGAAAACACTGTGTGTATAACCTACTTTAACTCACTACAGCCCGTTAGTCGCAAAAGGAAGAGGCGCTGGAGGTCGCAAGCAGATACAGAGATGGAAACGACCCTCAGACAGTCCTTGCCCCCAGCGAGGGTCCTCAGATGTTTTTTTCCCGATATCGAGATATAATACATAATATTATAATAATAATCCTGGCATTTCATACAGCGCATCATATACTTTGAAGACGCCTCATACGTCTTCGTGGGTTATACTGCAAAGTGAATTGCTTGTTTTTGTTGTGTTAAGTTTTTTTTGAATGGATTATCAACGCTGGAAAAGTGATCTTCAAAAGCATGTGTGAACCAATATAACAAAACTGTGACTGACTGCGAGGCAAACAGACACGAGTGGAGCAGGTTATATACTATGGTTTTGCTCTGCCAGGAATCACCCCCAGGCCCTCTCGCTAGCGAGGCGAGGGCTCTAACCACTGAGCTACAGGGCTCAGAATGCAGTGTGTGAACAGACAAAAAAAAGCTCAGCACTAAAGCTATGTAGACTTTATTCTGGGTGAACGGTTTGCGCAGTCGTTTTGAATGAATAGATACCAGCAAAGAAAAACCTCAGGACCTGACTTTTCCACAAAGATATATTGGTCCAGCACCTAAAGCCAGATGGGAATATGGATGAAATCACTGAGCTGATTGAGTTAAACATCTCAGGATATATAAACTCGTGCATGTCTGAGCCGGACAGGTTGCAGGAGGGTACGCACACACAGAAACACAACACAAAGAAAGACAAGCATGTGCACACACACAAAGAAGAACGAACATGAACACATATACGTGCACACATACGCATACACACAAACGCACACACATATACACAAAGACACACACATGCACACAATCTGACAAAACATGCATGCACGCGCATACACAAACGCAAACACATGCACAATCACACACACGGATACAAAAACACAAATACTCACACTCACAGCAAACAACGGCAGACAGAAAAAGTGTACAAGCACACCACACATAAATGCATACAGACACACAATCGCAGAAAATCACTCACAGAATCACACGCAAACGGAAATATAGATACACACAGAAAAACACACAAAAATACACACCGATACACAAACAGACAAGCAGACAAATATACACACCACACATGCATAAACACAGAAAGAGAACACGCAGACGCACACACACGCATACAGCACACATGGGCACAAGCACACACAGGAACACGCAACACATATACAACACATCACATATAGACACACATACTGACGCACAAGCACATCCACGGAAACAGACACTCCGAAAAATAGACAGATTCACACATCACACAGCGACAAACACACATACAGGCACACAAACACAAACATATAGCGAAACACACACATGCATAAACAAAACATCAAATCATCAAATACAGAAACACAGACTGCTCAGTGCTGCTCCGAACTCCCAGCGAGGCTGCTTATAGATTACACGCAATTAATCTTAAAAGACTCCCAATTGATCAAAATATTCCAATGCCTTGGAGAGAATGTGCCTCCATTGCACACGCACAAATTCCCAGTCAGATGTGGAACTGTCAGAAGGTTGGTTGGAGAGTTTGAAGCCTGATGGCTGGTTTGTGTTTGTGATAGACACACGGTCGACAAAAGCAGAGTACTACAAACCCACAATGTATTGAGAGATTGATGGGACCAGGGCAGGAGCTTCGGCATTAGATACAATGGGAGCGAGTTTGGGGCTTGGAGCCAATTTAAGGGTCGGGGCTGTGACTGTGCACATATCACTATTGCTGGAGTTTCCAGCACGTGGTCTCTTATTAATATATTTTGAGAGTTTGATGTGAAAGATGGTTTGTGGTCTCACACTGTCACACCGATTCCTGTCACAATATTCAGCCTCACTGATCAGACAGTCATAATAAACACATTGAGACATTGGAGACATTCAGATTCTGGAGACACAGTGTGTTACATACCCCAGACTCCGTATTTTGCACTCCGGATTCCTCAAAGCCTCACAGAGTCGCTTCACTCCACAATCTCCCAGTTTATTATCATTCAGGTTCAGCTCCGTCAGTGAGCGGTTCTTACTGAGACCCAAGTCCAGATCCTTGGTATAATCAGATGTCAGGCTGTTACCCTGAAGCCTGAAGATCAGTGACGTAGAGACATAACAGGGATCAGAGTAAACACAGGTGTATATCCCACTGTAGCTCACTGCAGGTAGTAGAACACAGAATGAAGAGGCGATAGAGGCCACAAGCAGATACAGAGATGGAAACAAGCCTTATACAGTCGCTTCGCCCAGCGAGGGGTCCTCAGAAGATTTTCCCGATATGCAGACACAATGTTTAATATAATAATAATACTGACATTTGTTATAGCACCTCATCATGTCTTGGAGACGCCTCAAAGCTCTTCATTTGATATACTGGAAAGTGAATTTAGTATCACACCCAGGCCCTCTCGCTGGTGAGGCGATTGCATAAACCGCTGAGCTACAGGACTCAGCCTTCAGTGTCTGAGCTGACAAACACTGAATCAGGATTAATCCTATGTAGACTTTTCGCCACAGGTTTTGTCTGTATAGATACTAAACCAAACAATACCTCAGCACCTTAATTCTCCACATAAACAAACATGTTCACACGGTGGGTACTGCGTGACAGACAGGTTGATGTTGTGCATATACACACGGATAGACAGAAACACACACATAGACAGAAACACACAAGCACAGACACACCCAGAAACACACCAAGAATCCCATACAAACACGCAACACGCCAAGTTACACACACCTAGACAAACACCCAGACACACACACAAACAAGGACACACACTCCAACACACACACAGACAGACTCACACTTCACAAACATACACACCCAGACAGACACACACAAATACATATAGGATCAGACACACACATACAGACACTCATACAAAGACACACACACGCACACCCACACACACATACCAAGATACACACAGACACACACATATACATACAAACAAACCAAAGAGAAACACACAAATAGAAACAAACACAAAAACACACATATAGAAACACATACAGAGACACACACGCATGCAAATATACGCACACGGATACTTAAACACACATAAGTACAAGAACATGCGCACACAAACACAAACACACGTTCGCGCAAACACATGCTCATTTGCACATACAAACATAGACACAAACACATAGAAACACATATAGACACACAAAAACATGTACACGAGCAAACAAAAACATCTACTACACAGTGCAGGTCGATGCTACGAGTGAGGCTGCTTCTAGATTTACACACATCCAAATTTCAAAGTCTCGGCGTGGCTGGAAAGATTCTCCTCCCCTGTTGATATGGATTAATGTTCCCGGAGAAGAGGGCCATCGGGCTCTTTAGGATCAATTGACTTCAACGCGACATCCCCAATAATGGAGGTGGGGCATCTCTTCCACACTTTGTGAGGGTGTCTATTCCTGTTACTGAGCCAGGAGGGGCCGCAGTATTCCAGGATACTCACTGCTGATGGCAGCACAGCCCAGCCTGGTCTTCCGCAGGATTTGGAAGCACAGATCAGTCACCGGAGGCAGGGAGTATTTCCCCTCTGATGCTGCTAACCCCACAAGCCAAAGTTCTGAGAGAATGAGAGAGAGGGTGAACCCAGCAGGATAGGCAGCGGGAAGCTGGCCACACACACTGAATAACAGCTTCAACTCCCCAACTGACCTCAAAGCCAAGCTTAGATCCCAAACTCTGGACGCCGGCGATCCTGTTCATAATAATATCTGGGATGAGGTGAGCAGAGCTGTCCCTCCGGGGAGAAAATTTGCCTCAATTACACACACACAAATCTCCACTCAGATGTGGAACTGTCAGGAGGTTGTTTTGGAGAGTTTGAAGCCTGATGACAGGTTTGTGTTTGTGTCAGACACTCAGCTAACAATAGTAGAGAACTACAAACCCACAATGTGTGGAGGGATTGACGGGACCAGAGCAGGAGCTTCGGGATGAGATGCAATGGGAGAGGGTTTGGGACTTGGAACCAGTTTAGGGGTCAGAGATGTGACTGTCCACATGTCAGAAGAGCTGGTGTTTCCATCACATGGTTTCTTAGTAATACATGGTGAGAGTTTGATGTAAAAGATGGCTTGTGGCCTCAAACTGTCACACCGATTCCTATCATAGTATTCAGCCTCACTGATCAGACAGTCACAATAAACACTTTGAGATTTTGGAGTCATTCAGACTCTGAAGACCCAATGTGCTACTTACCTCAGACGTTGTATTTTACACTCCGGGTTCCTCAGAGCCTCACTCAGTCGCTTCACTCCATAATCTCTCAATTGATTATTACTCATGTCTAGCTCCGTCAGTGAGTGGTTTATACTGAGATCAGATACCAGATCTTCGGTAGATTCACTTGTCAGGTTGTTACCCCCCAGCCTGGAGATCAGAGACAGAAGCATAACAGGTTTCACAGCAAACACAGTTTTTATTACTGTTGGTGACGCAGCCTGAAGAACAGAGACACAGAGATACAACAGGGATCAGAGTATATATTTTGTTGACCTCAATGAGAGATTGTGGATGGGTTGGGTTCTCTGGGAATGGGCCAGGGTCTGGCATTTTTGTCACCTTCACATTAAAACATCGCTGTGTGTGGAACAGACATTAACATTCAGGATTACAATATCAGGTGGAGTTTGATGCTTTTCGAGGTTCAGGGACCACACAGTATCTGTTGGAGCGGGTGGTATGGTTGAGTGTGTATTATAGTTGAATGCTGAATTTTCACCAGCAGAAGCTGTACTACGTACCCCTTAAGAGGGAAACATGCCGCTGTTTTCTGGACAGGAAACCCACCAACCTGTAAATACCGCGCCTCACAGGGATAGAAGGGTTATTCACAGACTTATTATTATTAATAAGAAAAGGAACTGAGCGGGAAGAATCTCTGCTCCCAGAGTCTTACTCTCAAAATCCTGCCGCTGATCCAGTCCTTGTAGTCTTTGTAGCCTTCAGCATCTCATTATTAATGCTGCTCACAGCTGCTCAGGGTATAATAATCTATGTTTAGAACCAGTCTCTGACACCAAATCCACAGGTTGTTACTTACCCCAGACACTGTGTTTTATCTTCCAGGTTCCTAAGAGCCTCACACAGTCGCTTCGCTCCACAATCTCCCAAATTATTGTCTCCCAGCCTGAACACCGAGACACAAACACAGGAAATATAGTGTAACAACACAATACTCATTGACATGTATAAACAGTCAACTTTCACGCGTGGACAACGTCCCAAAACGCTGGGACCAGGGTCAGACACACCGGCACATGTGACACGGTCATCAAACAGGGGTGGGAGGATAACCGAAGGCAGGGTTAAAACGGATGTCCGTGAGAGGGGTTTTGTAGGATGCAAAGGAAGATGCGAGTTTGGAGGGGCATCAGGTTACTTCCGGAGAGCGGGGGCTGAAAAGCTGAATGTACAACTGTCGATGCTGGAGAGGTCAGATCAGGTGAAATTGATTAGGCCAGTTTCCATTGAGTGAAGGGAGCGGACAGGTTGGTAAAGATGGTAAACACCACTTTCACCCTCTCACCCCCCCCCACCCAGTGTTGCTGAAACTGGGTTAGCTCCTGCCCCTTCTAGGCCTCTCTCCTATCTGGTTCCACCAGCTCAGGTCCCACAGCTCTGACTCCCTGCAATCAAGAGCCAATTCTCCTCCGGGCCAGGTGAGCAGGCCATAGGCTTCCTTTATAATTTCCTCAGCGAAGGAATTAAACGAACTGCCACCCAGAGTAGGAAGAGCCTCCCGGAAGCTCCCTCACCACCTGTGTGTAACTCAGTGAAGGTTTGACTGAACTCATCCCACGCCTTATAAAACATTTCAACAGAAAACCTCCCTTATCTGCCTTGTGACGTCCTCACGATGTGAAAGGGGCGATATACTCTTGTTGTTGTTGTTCAAGTCCTCAGGCTTTACAATCCCAGGGCTCAGTTTACCCACCTTCGCTGCCAGTATCTAGAGCTATTCACAACAGTATAAGGGACCAGAGTGTGAGGACAGGGCAGTGGACCAGCTGATGCCATGGGCAGCTGTTCAGTCCGTGAGGAGCCGGGCACATGCTGTCAGGATCACAGGCCGAGCGAGTGAGCGAGTGTGTAACCTGGTCAATCAGCCACTGGCTGGAGGAAGTGTCCTCCTCCCAATGGTGGACACCAGCTCCTGCCTGTTGGCAGCCCAGTTGGTTGACAAGGGGGAGTGTGTAGGTAGGTATAAAGCTGTGAGACATCTGACCGCAGGCGATTCACTCTGTGGCTTCAGGGAGGGCAGGGCTCTTGTGTGGAAATCTTTTCAGTGGCTTTATAACTGGGATGATCCGAGTGGTGTGTGCATTCATTACTCTGGTGAACAGAGGGGATCTTTGAGTAAGAAAGGGCGTTCAGAAAGATACCGATCGTGACTGTGATCTGTCACAGGTCATGTTGTATGTGTGCGCGTTCACAGGAGGTTTCATGTAATGAAATTTCAGTGTGTTACTTACTCCAGAATCCGTATTTTAGACGCCGGGCTCCTCAGAGCCTCATACAGATGCTTTGGTCCACCATCTCCCAGATCATTGTTCTCCAGACTGGACACAGAGACACAAACACAGTGAATATAGTGTAACTGTTGACATTAACACCTATGTACAGTGTGCTTTCACGTGGTGAGGGTGTCCCAAGCCGCTGCGTCCAGAGTCACACAGAAATATCAGAACGTGCGCACACACACATCGATGCTGATCAATAAAACATCTGAGATTCATATTACATTCACACAGGATCATTTCTCAGAGCTTTACTGGGATGGGTTTGGAAAGTTCGGGCGGCCCCCAGGCTCTATGGCAACAACTGCATTAAATTGCAATTTTAGCGCCTTTCAGGACAGGATTACATTCCAAGTCTCTGGACAATGAAGGGTTTACACTCTTGGGGTTGATATTAGTTAAGCGTGGAAAGCAGGTTATGGGACGGGATGACCGAAAGCAGTGTCAAAGGGGAAGATCTTGAAGACGGGCTTTGCAGGCAAGGGAGGGCCGTGGTGGGTGAGATCCAGGATGGAGTTCCAGGTTAATGGGGCAGAAAGTCTGAAGCCCGATCACTGATGATGGAGCAGGCCAGTTTGGGCTCCGAAGGATGGAGCAGACAGGTTGGTAACGTTGATAAACACCTCTTACTCCCTAGTTATGCAGGTCCCTTGGTTGGCAGCTAACAGGCCGTGGCCTCTCTTCTGCTCTGGTCCCTCTAGCTCAGGACCCATAGCACTCTTTCTCTGCACTCAACAGGTAAGCATGCTTCAGCACGTGTGATTAGGCCAAAGGCTTCCTGTGTCCTGTCATCAGGGCAGCAGGTCCTCCGTGAGCTGCCGTCCAGAGCAGAAGTTGTTTCCTGTGTGCTGCTTCGCATCCTGCTTCTGATATAGTGAAGGGGTAACTGAAGCTCCTCACCCACCCCCAGCACCCACCATCGCCCAACAACCCATGACAAAACAAAGCTCCCCCATAGCTGCCTTGCACACTGCAAATCCTCAGGCTTTACAATCCCATTGCCCAGTTTACCAGCCTTCCAACGGCCAGTGACCTGCGTGTGAGGACTGTTCAGACCGTGATCTGCCACAATATATCATATGAGGGGTCAAGATGTAGGGATGGAGTTCCAACGAGTGGGGCAGAGAGGATGAAAGCCAGGCTGATTATGGCAGGTTTGGTCGGGCGGGAGATGTGGAGGTCACAGCCTGCTGAATGGAGGGAGCAGACAGGTTGATAGGGGTCAGCAGAACAGAGAGGTAGGAGGGAGCAAGGCATTGAAAGTGAGGACGAGGCCTTTGATTTCTATCCTCTGAGGCATGGGGATCCGGTGGAGCTGACTTATGCTGGGGGTGAATGGTCACGGATCCTAATGTGGGAGAGGGCACAAGCTTCAAAATACGCGATGATCCACAGCTTGTGGAGGGAAGAGTTGGGAAGGCCGACAAGGAGGGCGTTGGCATAGTTGACCCTGGACGTAGTGCAGGCATATTTGAGGCTTTTGGCGACCAAAGAGTTGAAGCAATGTTGGAGTCGTGTCATGTTGCGGAGCTTAGGCAGGACAGAGTGGGTCAAGGCATGGAGGTGGATGAGAAACGACAGTTGAGGTGCGAACAAGACGCCTAGGTTCCTGAGTGCCTTCGTGAGGTGGAGTGGGCAATCGTACATTTTGATGTTGCCAATTCCTGAGGTATGGAGGCGTTGGTGCGAGCCAATCTGGAGATCCTCACTCCTGCAACTGTGGAAAGTTGGCGAGAGATGACCGAGGACAGAGACTTTTGGAACACCACACCACACGAGATGGGGTGGAGAGTTGTGGGGATATGAGTGATACGGTCTAAACCAGTCAAGGACAGAACCTTGAAGGTTGAGGTCAGAGGAAACGTGGTGGATGAGGGAAAAGTGATCCACAGTATCAAAGGCCGAAGAATGATCGAGGAGTTCGAGAAGACAGGTAACGGTTGAGCGAAGCTGGGAAGGAAAAATTCTTTCAAGGAACTTGTAATGTAAAGGGAGGTTGGAGATGGAGTAATATTTAGTGATCAGGGATGGGTCTGTTTTTAGGATAGATGTTGATGACAGCTGTTTTTAATTATGAAGTGAAATCACACATTGCGTTTTGTCATGCATTAAATTCTGGGATATTTGGTAAACCACATTTCATACCTTCTCTTCCGAGCAGCTTCCTGCTAATGAAATAAAACACACAAATGTGAGCTCACACTACGACACAACAAACTACAACAAATTACATGTGTACAGCGCCTTTCACGTCAGCGGGACATCCCAAGGCGTTGGGCGTGAAAGACTACATGTAAACTCAGACACACAGAATAGAATTCTACAGCACAGAGTTCACTGTCATTATAACAGCAATGTTACGCTCTCAACATGATTTCCAAAGGAAGGAAAGTTGAGATATACGGCTATCACAAAATGCTGTTTGTGTGAGGTTATAACTATAGGCACAGAGTCAGACCTGCTGACAGATACACACTATAGTTTTATAAATTACCAATTCATTCTCGCTTCTCTTTATCAATCAGTATTTAATGTTCCGCTCCAGACTGTGTGTTTCTGTTACTGAGCTCAATTATAATGTACTCGCTTTACCTGCAGAAAGATGAGCCCGTCTTTTTCCATTTTTGTCTGTAACTCTGAGGTTTCTTGATGAACTGAATCTAAATAGCTCCGAATCTCTCGCAGATTTGTCTCCATTCGTTTCAAAATCTCCTCCTGTCGCTGTCTCAGATCGCTCATTAACCGCTGTTGTCTCTCAGTCAGGCTCTGGTGTATTTTATCAAAATCGTCATTGACTTGGATCTGCAGACTACTCGCCTGTTCCTGCGAAATGTCAGACATCACATTGTGGACACATTAAGAGAGCCACACTGAGACATCGCACCACGTACACACAGTAAAGGGAGACAAATTGAGACATCACAACATGTACACACAGTAATTAGAGACCAACTGATTGGCCAGAAATCAGCCCAGACACAACTTACCTTAAGTTGTGAAATAGTTTGTTTCTGTTTGGCTTCAGCTTGTAGAGCAGTTTCCTTCCACTGTGCGAGAGAATCCAAGGAGGATTTCATTTCTTCCTGGAATAAACTCAAAAAATAAAAGTATTTGTACTTGAAATCATCAAGAGGAATAGATTTACTCCCTCGTAAGGGGTACTGTTACCTTGTAGATTTCAACAGCTTCTTCAATGGGCAGGAAGCTGTGATCTCTGTGCTCTCTCGCATCTCTGCAAACTAAACACAACAATTTCTTGTCAGATTCACAGAACAGCTTCAGTTCCTCCTGATGTTTCTCACAGTGAAGTTTAATTGCCATCGGGTTCAGGCTGAATTTCCGAGCTTTCTCTGCTAGACTCGCCATGTCCTGATTAACCCTGAGGTTCTTTTCTGGAAAAGTCTCATGACAAACAGCACAGCGGTTTGTCTCCTGCTTTTCCCAGCTCCGGGATATACATGAGCGACAGAAGTTGTGGCCACAATCCAGGGTGACAGGATCAGTGAAGAAATTCTGACAATTGGGACAGTTTAACTCCTCATTCACTCGCTGAATCTGGAGACTAGAAGCCATGTTCAGCCCCAACAATTCCGTGTCTAAACGGTTTGCCATCTCAGTGTTTGTGTGGACGTGGCACAGGTTCAGTTACCTCCGAAACCGGTTCCTCAGGTTTGGGGTGTAATAATTATTCTGTAAGAAACAATTCTGACTGAAAGTACAGAGAGGAGACGCCCATTGCCAGAACCACACAGTCTGTCCACAGCCCAGTCAAACTGGCAAAGGCCTTGCAATTACAGTCGAAGCTGATCCTCCAATGCTCTGTTGGGACATGTGCTTCATTGGTCAAAGTGCCGTCCTTTGGATGAGACACTAAACTAATATCCCGTCTGCCTGGTCAGGTGGACGGTAAAGAACCCATTGCGTTTTCAAAAAGGGGAGAGTTTCTCCCTTTCTCTCTCTCCTGGAATGATTATTGATTTGAACCAATTGGTGCAGTTGAAGGAGGACATTGGGGGAATGGAAGCGCTGCGTCTGGAGAAATATTTTCTCTATCAGCTCTGCAGCTCGTGTACTGTCCCGCACCAGGCTTCGGGACCACATCACTCCCACCCTCGCTCGCCTCCACTGGCTCCCCATCCCCCAGAGGATTGATTTCAAGATCCTCATCCTCACCTACAAGGCCATTCACGCCCTTGCTCCCCACCCCAACCTACTATCCCCCTACCTACCTGCCCGTACCCTCCGTTCCTCTGGTTCCGGTCTGCTCCACGTCCCCCGCCCCAACCGCCCTACTATCGGTGGTCGGGCCTTCAGCCTCTCAGCCCGAGGCTCTGGAACTCCATCCCCAGTGCCTTCGCCTTGCTTCCTCCCTTTCCTCCTTCAAGGCCGGTCTCAAAACCTTTCTCTTGACCGTGCCTTCAGCTCCCCTCTCGACTCTCTTCCTCCTCCTCGCCCCCCTTCCCTCCCCTCACCCTGACCATTTCCCCCTCCTCTCTCCCTCCCTTCCCTCCCCCACCCTGACCATTTCCCCCCTGCTCGGGTCATGACCCAACTGTGCAGCGCCTTGGGACGTCCTCCTGACGTAAAAGGCGCTCTATAAATGGAATCTTGTTGTTGTTGTTGTTGTTGTTGTCATTATATATGTAAATCCTGAACAGAGGAGAATGAAACTTATTAGAAAAATAAACTAAGCAACAAATAAACAGGAGTTACATACGTCAAGTTTGATGACACAGCTGGACTCCATTGTGCAGTTCTTGGACCTACATTTTAGGAAGGATGTCAACGCAATAAAGATGGTGCAAAGGAGATTGATCAGAATGGTACCAGAAATGAGGAACTTCAATTAATAGGAGAGGCTAGGAATATTCTCCTTGGAGCATCGAATGTCAAAAGCAGACTTCATTTCAAAATGATGAGAGAATTCTATCGGTTGATCAGAGAGAGAAGATTTAGACTGACGGTTATGTCAGTCTAAACTCGAGAACACGATTTAACATAGTTTTTAAAGAAACAGAGGGGAAGTGAGAAGAATTTTTTTTACTTCGCGGGTTGTTCGAATGTGAAATTCATTTCCTGAAAGGGTAGTGGAAGCCGATTTGATAACAACATTTAAGATAGAAGATAATTATTTGGGGAGGACAGCATTTCAGACTATGGGGAGAGCGCGGTTGGATTGATCAGGGTATGGGGAGAGAGCACGGGAATGGCATTGATTTAAACAGCTCTTTTCATTAAGCCGGCGCAGACAAGATGGGCTGAATGGCCTCCCTATGTGCTGAATAATTCCATGATTCTATGTTGGATCATATGATTAGTCTGCTTATGGGAAAGAATTCGTAGAACAGATTAGAATGTGTTCTTTAAGGGAAACCAGAAAGGGTAACACGATTAGTTGATGTAGTTTATGAGAAGCTAAACATAGAGGGAGGCTGGATGGACTGTGTGATGTTTCTGTCTTTGTAAGTCAGTGCAGTGCCAACTGCAGAGCAGCCATTTTCTGTGGTGTATAATCCATGGTCAGTAGCAATTGACAACACACATATTGCAACAGATTTCATTTCAACCTAATTTTATAATTAATCTTTTTTTCCTCAGAATAATTGTACATCAGCTCACAGTTCAGGCCAGTATAGGTGCACATCATCTGTTAACGTGATACAAGCGTCCTACCTCTGCGGACCTCTCACTGTATTTTGAGAAAAAACGCTGAAACTTGCCTTTATTCCCTCAACCTGGAAATGTTGACAAACATTTAAGTTACTGTAAGTGAAGCAAAGAGGCAGCGACTTATCCAACCTGTTCTGTTTGGTTTTCCAGGAAGTGCCGCTCCCTATGTTCAGAGACAAATATCAATCATTCTTCAGATGGAATGTGTCTCATGGGCTGAACCTGCCTGTCACACTGGCATGAGAGTCTCTCACAAACATTCATATGACCAGCCATTGTCACGTTAACAAAAGGTTTGTGCTCCTTTTCTGGGAGAGGCCATTACGTGCCTCCTAATTGTTGACTTGGAGAGAACTTGTTGAACGAGCTGGTGATTTCCAGTCAACGCGAAAAATATCAACCGGGGGAGCAGCTCAGCAGTTCAAACTGTTTGCTGATCAGCAAGTATCTGCTCAATATTCTACTTTTTCACTTCTCAATCTGATAATCATTAAATCTTTTCTCAATGTGGCTGAACTGACACCAAGGAGAACATGTTTGGCATCAGAATTTCGGAATCGAGCCAGCCATGTGAAGGTCTCTATCTGGTTCCTGAGCACTGATTATTTGTGATCATAAACACCCTGAGAGCTGTAATTGACCGAGCAGCAGGAGGTATCCCACTAGGGAATAGAAAACCAAACAGTACAAAAACACTAACACAATAAAGATCAAAATAGAAGATAGATAACGACCTTATTGTTTTCTGAAGTGCTTTATTCCGTGATGTTGAATATTTACATCACTTTGTGAGTCCTGTTTCACCTGGAGACCAGTTGTCTGCTCATGTGCCAAGTAAAGATCAGCAGGTAAAGTGTTAAGAGAATCACGGAGGAATCTATGACCATATCACCACACTTTATTGCATGATTATCATAGATGTTGCTCAAACTATCTTATATTATTCATATTTTAAAATCACTTTCAGCAAGTTATACATGTAGGGGCTTGACAGATGGTGGCAGATGATTTTGTGAGACGCGCCGCTCATTCAGTTAAAGTCAGGTTTCATGGAGGTTTCAGTTGAAAAACATCCTGAGAGCTGCCGCAGGAGGGCCAGACTGCAGCTGGTGAGGAAACTGAACCATCACCTCTGGGTTCTGCCCCTTGGCATCACAGAAACACACACACACAGACAACACACAGAATATCACGCACAGACAAACACACACGCACAGAAACACACACACACACACACAGAGAAACACACGCACAGACAAACGCATACACACAGAAATACACACACAGAAACACATGCACAGGCAAACACACACAGACACTCCTACACAGAAACACACACACACAGACAGACACACGCAGAAACACATGCACATGGAAACACACACAGACACTACCACACAGAAACACACGCACACAGACAAACGCACACAGTCACTCACTCGCAGGAACACACACACAGATACAAGCATAGAAAAACACGCACAGACACACACAGACACACACAGAAACACATGCACAGACAAACACACACAGACACTCACACGCAGAAACACACACAGAAACACACACACAGACAAACACAAACAGACACACAATCAAACCTGATTATGCACTAAATTTAGTGACAAATGTCAGTGAAAATCTCTTAATCTCAAAGGAAATCATCTGAGCAAATCAATCACAGAGGCACAAGCACACACACAGACACACTTAAACACGATCACACAGACACACATATACAGACACGCACAAAGACACAGAAACACTCACACAGGAACAGACACAGCAAATCTATCTGAAATCTCTTGAAGCCAAAGGGAAACTGAACAAATCAATCTCTGCAGCAAAATCAGCTTCAAACCCAAAAATGAAGACACATATTTTAATTTACACCCATTTAAAAATCGACATTAATCAAGAAACAGGATTAAATTCAATCAGTTTGCACAGGGTTGTGTCTGTCTGTCTCTGCGTCTCTCACTGTATCTCTCTGTCTGTGTCTATGTCTGTCTTCCTATCCGTCCATCTGTCTGTCTTTGTGTCACTGTGTCTCTCGGTAACGCTGTCTCTCTGTGTCCATGTCTTTCTGTCTGTGTCTCCAACTCCCCTCATCCTCAGGGTTCAACAGGCATCAGTGCGAACTCTCCCCAATCCTGCATTAATATTAAATATATCCAAGTTTTATTGCGTTAACTTTATATTACGAAAATAATCTCCTCTCCGGGTAAAACACGGAAATGGATTTGCAAAGTCCCCACATTAAAGATAACATTTATTAAACCCGAATTTATCAAGACATAAAGCGGATTATAAATTCCCCGGAAACCCAGAAGTTTAAGTGCACCAATGCAAAACATTCCTAATTCTGCATTAATATCAAATATATCAATAAGTTTTTGCATTAACGTTGTATTTAGATTGTATCCCCAAACCCGGAAAAAAAAATTCCATTAGCTGTGCAATCCACAGTTCCTGTACCTCAGGGATTAGACCCCCGCTTGGCAAGCCACAGCCACTGTAGCACAGGAGTTAGACCCCTTACCTCGCAAGCCAAAGCGCCTGTAGCTCAGGGGATAGATCCCTCGCCTCGCAAGCCGCAACCCTGTAGCTCAGAGGTTAGAACCCTCACCTCGTTAGCCACAGCCCCTGTAGATCAGGGGTTAGACCCCTCGCCTCGCACCCCACAGACCCTGTAGCTCAGGGGTTAGACCCTTCGCCTCGCACCCCACAAACCCTGTAGCTCAGGAGTTAGACCCCTCGCCTCACAAGACCCCTCGCCTCACGCCTCTGTGGACCCAGGTTCAATTCTCTAACGTGACAGAACGGGGTGAAACTTCACAAGATTTCTTACTGCTCACACATAAATACACAGACACACACAGGCAGACACACACAGAAACAACACAGACACACACATTGGGACGGTCAGACAGTCACTATAC